CCAGTTAACTAAATTAACCATGTAATTGTAACATAATGATAATAATCAAGAATCTTCATATTTATTTCATTGCATGTTTTGAGTGGCCTCTTTTTATCAAATAGCTGTTTTGATGGTTGGAAATGAACTGTTTTGAAAAAATACGCATAATTATTCAAAATTTAATTGATATATTAAAGTATCCATGAATTTTTATTTATTGCTGCCTAACTTCAGAAAATTTGGTGAGAAGGGGCACTTGGGTGGCTCAGTCGTTTAAGCTGCTAACTCTTGATTTTGGCTCAGGTCATGATCTCAGAGTCCCTGTGCTTAGTGGGGAATCTGCTTGAGGATTCTCTCTCTCCCTCTCCCGTTGCCCCTCCCCCTGCTTGTGTGTTTTCTCTTCCCTCTCCTTTCTAAAATAAATAAAATAAAAAATGAAAAGAAAATTTGGTGAGAAGGAATGCTAATTTAGGTAAATTGAATTATAACAGCTTAAGAAAAATGCCCTCTATTGTTTTTGTCTGTCTAATTAAGCTCTGTAATGATAGGTGTGGATAAAAGGAAGAAAGATGCTGACAAGGTCAGATTCCTTTAACTGGATAGCTCTAACTTGGGCTATTCCTGACGTGGAATTTTTCTTCTCTGCCCCCACTATATCCTATGTGCCTAATAAGTTTTTGCAGTTAAGATAAAAGTAGTCTAAGAAATGACATAGGCACAGTTTCAGCATTTTTATTTTACTCTTTTAAATTTGCAGATATATTTAGGTCATATTATTGTGTTTAGATTGAAGGTTAAAGGGTACTCCCAACTTTCCAAAAAGACTTTAACAAGATAGTGTGCTTGGATTTATTTTTGTTTATTTATTTATTTTTACTGGATCACTTTACTAAGTGATAGGGAAATTAAACAAGGATGAAAAAATACATGTTTAAAGGAGAAGTACATAAAGCAAGGTAGTCCTTCAGGGACCATGGAGGAGGAGAGGCAGATTATACTGAGCTCTAGTAAGTCAAGAATGCCAACAGTGAATTAACTATAGAAACAAAAGTCTTAAGCCATTTTGGTTGAGGGGAAAAGACCACATAAGCTGTTTTAATCAGGAAAATTCACTGGGCAAATATGAATGTATATTTAAGAAAATAAGCTATATTACAGGATAGAAAGTTTTCAACTATCATTTATTTCGTGGAAAAGAGCAGCCCAGTGTTGTGCCATGTCTAAAAGATCAACCATAGTGGATACCGTCAGAAAAACACAAAACCAGCAAACTAACATTTCACCATCTTATAAAACCGTAATGCTGCCAGGTACTTTGCCAAGTAGACACTGCAAGACCTTAACAAATTCCTAATTTGGGGAATATCATTACTCTTTTAGATGTCTTCACTTTCTGTTCATTACTGTCATCATCTACTTTGAAGAACAGCTTTGTTTTCAAGGCAGTTTCTCTAACATCCTACTATACAAAATTTCAAATGTAACAGAATTTTGAAAGAATAATTTTTTTATTATGTTTGTCCCTATACAGTACATCGTTAGTTTTTGATGTAGTACTCCATGATTCATAGTTTGTGTATAACACCCAGTGCTCCATGCAGTCCTTGATACCCATCACCAGGCTCACCCATTCCCCCCATCCCCTCCCTTCTAAAACTCTCAGTTTGTTTCCCGGAGTCCATAGTCTCTAACGGTTTGTCTCCCACTCCAATTTCTCCCCCTTCATTTTTCCCTTCTTTCTCCTAATGTCCTCCATATTATTCCTTATGTTCCACAAATAAATGAAACCATATGATAATTGATTTTCTGTGCTTGACTTATTTTACTTACATAATCTCCTCCAGTCCCATCCATGTTGATGCAAAAGTTGGGTATTCATCCTTTCTGATGGCTTATACTCCATTGTGTATATGGACCCATCTTCCTTATCCATTCATTCATCTATTGAAGGGCATCTTGGCTCTTTCCACAGTTTGGTTGTTGTGGACATTGCTGCTTGAACATTGGGGTGCATATGGCCCCCTTTTCACTACCTCTGTATCTTTGGGGTAAATACCCACTAATGCAATTGCTGGGTCATTTAAAAGAGTAATATAAGAATATCCAGATATTCCCCACCTAGATTTAAGTTTTTTTCTTATACCATATGAAAGTAAGTTGTGGATATGCCTAAGGATAAGGACATTTACTTATAACTATAATTTTATCACATCTAAGAAAATGAACAGTTCTACATTCCATCTATTCTCTGGTCTAGAGCTATTTTTAACACAGAAAAAAACATTTTTGTCATTTTTGAAGACTACGTATGTCTTAATGATTTGAGAACAGTGAAACCTTACTGAGATGCAAATATGATTGGCTAGCTCATATCCCAACAAATGAGTCACTTCCACTTCTATCTTAAAACATATGATGCAGATTTATGTAACAGCAAAAAAATCTCAATTTACTGTATGTCATAGATTAAGAAAATTATTCACAGATGGGTGAAATTAAAAATTTTTGTTTAGCTTTTTAGATTCTATCTTTTGAGCTAAAAATCACATATTATAAAATTCACTGTTTTAAGATTGCACAATTCAATGGGTTTCTTTTAGTACATTTATAAAGTCATGCATCAGTCACCAGTAATGCCAGAATATTTTCTTTACTTCCCCAAATTCCGTATCCATTAGCAGTCATTATCCATTCTTCCTTCCTCCCTGGACTTGCAACAAATAACTACTTCATGGCTAATGAATTTGCCTATTCTGACCTTTCATATAAATGGGACCATACATTATGTGACCTTTCCTATCTGGCTTCTTTGACTTAACAAAATGTTTTCTGAGTTTATCTATATTATATTATATATCAGTACTTCATGCCTTTGTAACCAGATAATATTACACCATGTGAATATACCACATTTTCTTTATCCGTTCATCAGTTGATGAACATTTGTGTTGTTTCCACTTTTTAGTATTATAAATAATGCTGCTCTGAAGTTTTTCTGCTTATGAAGTTGCTACAGTTTTGTATGGACATGTGTTTTCATTTCTCGTGGGCATATACTTAGAGGAGTTGAATTGCTGAATCAAATGGTAACTCTTATGTTTTAAGTTTTTGAGGAATTACAAAACTGTTTTTGAAAAATGGCAGCACCATTTTACATTCCCACCAGCAACATAGGAGGACTGCATTTCTCCACATTCTTGCTGTTACTTGTCCACATTTTTGTTGTTGTTGTTATAGCCATTCCAGTTCATGTGATGTAATAGTCCATGGTTGTGATTTGTATTCTCCTGGTGACTGATGATGATGAGCATCTTTTCATGTGTTTATTGGGCATTTCTATACTTTCTGTGGAGAAAATATTCATTCTCTCCCTATGGAAAAATAACCGTTTCTCTGAGAAATACTTATTCTCTTACCATTTTTATTTGTTGTTTTCTTTTTTGTTTAGTTAGGTTTCCTCTATATATTCTGGATACTAGATCCTTATTAGGTATATTATGATTTGCAAATGTTTCTCCCATCTGTAGGTTGTCTTCATTTTTTTGATAGTATGCTCAAATGCATAAGTTTTTAATTTTTATTAAGTCCAATTTATTTTTTCTTTTGTTGCTTGTGTTTTTAGGTATCAGATCTAAAGAACTATTGCCTAATCACCGGTCATGCAGATGTATACTGTTTCCTTCTAAGAGTTTTATAGTTTTAGCTCATACTTTTGGGTCTTCACATTTTGAGTTGATTTTTGTACACAGTGTGGCATAGGTACCCAGATTCATTCTTTTTCCCAAGGATACCCAGTTGTCCCAGCATCATTTGTCGAAAAAACTATTTCTTCCCCATTGAGTGGTCTTGGCACCCTTGTGAAAAATCATTTGACCATAGATATGTGGGCTTATGTCTAGACTCTGAATTCTGTTCCATTGTTCTGTATATCTTTCTTTATACTAGTCTTATGCAGTCTTGATTTGTTGAACTTTGCAGTAAGTTTTGAAATTAGGAAGTATGAATCTTCCAGATTCATTCTATTTATTAAGTTTATTTCTAAGGTTTTTTTTTTTTTTTACGACATTGTGAATGGAGTTACTTTTTAAATTTTATTCTTGATTGTTGCTAGTGTATAGGAATAAGACATTTTTATATATTGATCTACTGTCCTTTAGTCTTGCTGAACTAGTTACCTCTATGATAGTTTTTTTAGTATATTCCTTAGGTTTTTCTGTATATAATATTGTGTCACCTGAAAATAAAGATAGCTTTATCTCATTCTTTTCTGGCTTTTATTCCATTTTCTTGACTAATTGCCCTGGCTGAAATCTCTAGTACTTAGGTGTTGAATAGAAATAGTAAGAGTAGATATCCTTCTCTTCTGCCCAGTTTGAAGGAGGAAGATTTCAGTGTCCATCATTAAGTATGATGTTAGTAGTGGGTTTTCCATTAGATGATCTTTATCGGGTTGAGGAACTTACATTCCATTACTACATTGGTGGATGTTCAAGTTTGTCAAATGCTTTTTCTGCATCTATTGAGGTGATCATATCAAATTTTTGCCTTATGCAATTCATAGAGTATATTACATTATTGATTTGATTAATTCTTGTATGTTGAGCCTATCTTGTATTCCTAGGATAAATCACACTTGGTCATGGTGTATACTCTTCTAAATATGATGATAGATTCAATTTGCTAGTATTTTGTTAAGGATTTTTATATCTATATTCATAAGGGATCTGGGTTTTTATTTTTCTTTCTTGAGATATCTTTGACTGATTTTGAAATCAGGGTAATGTTGACCTTACAGAATGAATGACTTTGGAACTATTCCATCTTCTTTTTTTTTTTTTGACACATTAACATTCTTAATTTATTAATCCTCTTCTGAAAAATCTGCACAATCACCACAGATAAAGCCACTGCAGCATCTTTACTCCTTCTGTTGTCCAATCTCCAGCTCACTTTTTGCCAGCACCAGGATTGGGTTTTGCAGTCCCCCTTACTTTCTTCATTCCGTTCTTGCATACTTTTCACTGTTTTCTTGAGGTCTTCTTCTCATATAGACCATGTCTTGCAAGTCTATGTTCAGATTCATTTTTCTTTGCGTAATCCAAAGAATCATAAGTCATGCCAAAGTCATTTGTCTTGCCACCACCAAAATGGGTTCTGAATCCAAATACAAATATGGCATCTGGTGTGGTCTTGTACATTTTGGCTAGTTTTGCCCGAATTTCTGTCTGAGATACTGTTGTCTTTTCGGAATAAAGGACATCAATAACCATTTGTTTGTGCTGAAGAAGTTGGTTGGTCATGAATTTCCTGGTCCAGATAGTTACTGTGTCATTCATGATGGCAGCCAAGCTTCAAGCAGCTGGAGAGGAAAAGAGTCCATCTTCTATTTTTATGAAAGAATTTATGAAGGATTGGTATTGATCTATAACTGTTTGGTAGAATTCAACAGTGTGAGACCATCTAGGCCTGGGCTCTTCTTTGTGGGTACTTCTTAAATTACGAATTCAATCTCTTTTTATAGGTCAGATTGCCTTATTTCTTTTTGAGTCCATTTTGATAACTTGTGTGTTTCTAGGAATTTATGTATTTTGTGTAGATTATCCTATCTGTTGACATACAGTTTTTCATAGTATTCTCTTCTTTAGTACCTTTTACTTCTATAAGTTTAGCTATAAGATTAGTAGTAATATTTCTCTTTCATTCTGATTTTAGTTGAGCCTTCTTTTTTTTTACTCTTGATCAATTTAGCTAAAGGCTTATTAATTAGATTTGTTGTCTTTTTAAATACTCAACTTTGGGGTTTGTTAATTTTTTTTCTATTGGTTTTCTATCCCCTATTTCATTTATTTCCACTTATAATGCCCTCTTTATGCCTACATTAGGTTTGGCTTCCTCTTACTTTTCTAATTTCTTAACATGGAAGATTAGGTTATTCATTTGAGACTATTTTCAATGTACTGAATATGCAGCTATAAATTTCCCTCTCAGCACTGCTTTAACTTTCTATAAGTTTTGGTATGTTGTGTTTTCATTTCTTTTCACCTCGAAGAATTTTCTAAAATTTTGTGATTTCTTCTTTGACCCATTTATGATTTCTACATATGTGGGAATTTCCCATTCCTTTAGTTATTGCTTTCTAATTTCATTCCATTGTAGTTAGAGAAAATACATTGTATGATTTTATTCCTTTTAAACATGTTGAGACTCATCGTACAGCCTAATATACAATCTGTCCTGGAGAATGTTTCATGTGCACTTGAGAAGAAGATATATTCTTCTATCACTGGGTGTTGGAGTGTTCCATGAGTATCTGTTAGGTAATTGGTATATACTGTTATTTATGTCTTCTCTTTCCTTGTTTATCCTCTTCTTAGTTCTATCCATTATTGAAAATAGAGTCTTGAAATCTATAATTACTATTGTTGAATTATCTACTTCTCCCTTCAATTTTGATCACTTTCATTTTATGTATTTTGGAGCTCTGTACTTAGGTGCATAATAGGTTATGACTGTTACATCTTCTTGACAGATTGGCCCTTTCATCATGAAAAACTCCTTTCTTTGTCTCTAGTAACAATTTTTGTTCTAAAGGCATTTTCTCTGATACTAGTATAGGCACTCTCTTTTTCGGTTACTTTTGGCATCCTATATCTTTTTCTGTCCTTCTACTTTGACCTATTTTTTTCTTTGAATTTAAAATATATATGTAATATGTAGATGACATATAGTTTGATAATATTTTATTCTAAATCCAGTCTGCCTCTCCCTGCTTTTAATTGAAGAGTTTAATACATTTATGTTTAATGTGATTACTGATAAGATAGGATGTACATTTGCTATCTTTGCTAATTTTCTGTATGTTTTATGTCTATTTTTGTTCCTCAATTCACCCATTACTGACTTTGTATTAAATGGGTGTTTTATAATGAACCATTTTAATTCCCTTATTTCTATAGATATAGATATAGATATAGATATAGATATAGATATATAGATACATACAATTATTTTCTTTTATGGTTATCCTGGAGATTGCAGTTAACACCTCAGTTTATAAAAAGCTAGTTTGGATTAATACCAATTTAATTTCAAAAGTATACAAAATCTATTTCCTACATATGTGTATCTGTTGTTTGTGTGTGTGTGTGTGTGTGTGTGTGTGTGTGTGTGTGTATACACTCTCCCATACCCCCATTGATCTTATGAATTATGCATCCATCAACACAGATTTGTATTTGGTGTTTTATGCAGTTGTCTTTTAGATCAGATTTGAGAATAAAGGAGTTACAAGTAAAAAATACATTTAGACTGAATTTTATATTTACTTTGTGGTTACCTTTACTGGTGCTCTTTATTTCTTCATGTGGATTTAAGTTACTGTTTGGTGTTCTTTTATTTAAGCCTGAATGATTCCCTTTAGTATTTCCTGCAGAACCAGTCTGCTGGTGATGAATTCTCTGATGTTTTTGTCTGACCATTGAGGTCTCTACTCAGTTAGCTAAGTGGTCAGGTATTGATTGGACAGATATTCCTTTAAACACCTTAAAGCAATAAATCTCCCAGTCTTTGCCAAAGGGCTCTGTGTATGTTGGGGTGTGCTGTAAACACTCAGTCATACAATTGACAGCCCTTCTTTAGCCTCCACTTCCTACATTTGTGGAACCTCAGATTTAGCCAGAGGTGAGAGCTTGGGGTCTTCTAGGGTCTTGAGATGCACACAGCTCTTTGCATATGCATTACCTTCCAGAGTCCCAGGAATAAAATGGAGCTTTTCAAAGCTTCTGGGGAAATCTTACTTACCAGTTTTTCCTTTTAAGGTTTTTGGTTAGTCTGTTATCTGCCCAGCTATTATCCACTAAAGTTAAGACATTTGCCTGAAATTTATTTTATTTTATTTTTTATTTTTAGAGAGAGGAGGGGGGGCGGGGCAGAGGGAGAAAGGGCATCTTAATTAGACTCCATGCCCAGCGCAGAGCCCAGCTTGGGGCTCAGTCTCACAACCCTGAGATCATGACCTAAGCTGAAATCAAGAGTCAGACACTTAACAGACCGAGGTACCCCTGCCTACAGTTCTTTTTAACAGTTTCCCCTCTGTACCCTTCCATCTCCTCAAGAGAGAAAGCTTTTTGGATTAGGCAAGTTCTGAGACAGGTCACATATAGCCAAAGATGGGGTCTTACTAGAATCTACCACAGGAGACAAATAATGACAGTTCTTTAGGATGTGGCCTTGAGAGAGTTCCAGCTGTGTTATGTTCATTCTGACCTCCAGACTGAACTGGGAATATTGGACTGTTAATTTTCAAGGCTACCGCTTGATCATGAAGGAATCAGATTAAGGCAAGTTAAAGTGATACAAAGCGGTTCTTATTGAAAATCAGCCTGTTTTCTTGGATAAATGCTCTCCAGTTTACTGCAAGTCTTAGGTTAATTTCCAAAGCTTTGAAAAGTTGATATTGACCAGCTTTGCCAGTTTTTCCACTGTTTTTGGAGAAGTGGATCTCAGTGCTTGTAAAGTGCAAATTTTACTGATGTCACCAAAACTATAAAGTTGAAATCCATGAATGTTAAAGGACCAGAAATGTGATTGCAGTTCTAACTGCAACGCTTCATTGAAAAGTTAACTGAAATGAGCCAGCAAATGGAATAGCCATTTTAATCATAAGAAATAAAAACTGCTCACCTGGAAGACAAAAACCTCTATAAAGACTTTCTTAAAGGTCTATAAAAAAGTATAAACTATAAGGACTTCTTCTAAATTGTATTTGATATTTCCCTTTGTTATAGCATGAAGTCCAAAGCCTTTATTTTTCAGAGAAAGGCATAATTTTACAGTAGGGGAAGATTTAGACTTTGAAACTAGCCACATCTGAGTTTGATCCTAAATTAGGCATATGCTGGGGTTTGTAGGTGTAGGCAAGTCCTTAACCTATAGTGTCAGTTTGCTTTCTATCATTCTGTAAAATATCATACTCGTTTCATTAAGGTTTAGAATTATATATGTAAACTGTTTATCACAATGCTTGGAACAGAGTAAGACGTCAGTGTGTCGCAGCAGTTGTTATTATTCAGACTCCCACGATCCAACGTTTTGGCCTTAGCTGATACAAATCTTATTTTATATAAACCCGACAAGAGTAACTGCTCTCCTGGCTTCTGTCACCACAGATGAGCTTTGTATATTTTTTCAAAATTTTATGAATGAAATTATACAAGAAATTGGTATCTGTGTTCTTTTTTACTCAACATGTTTATAAGTTTCATGCATTTTGTTTTGTGTGGTTTTGACTCATTCTAATAGCTGTTCACTGTTCCATTTATGAATATATATTCTTTGTTCATGTATGAACATGGGGGCTTTTTTCCCCCCAATTTGGGTTTTCATTTGCATTTCCTTGAATTTAAGTTGAGGGCCTTTTTATGTGTGTTTCTGGCCAATTGGCTCTATGCTATTTTTGAGAATGTATTTAAATCTTTGCCTATTTTTCTCATCTGTGTAAACATTAAAAGCAGGTTAAACATATCTCACTTATTTTCTGCTAACATAGTTTCTAGAAGAATGCCGTATTGTACATATTTTATGTATATGTATGTATTGATTTGAGATTTTATGCAACAAATCTAATTGGGAACTGATGAGTATTATTAAGAAGGAGCTTTGTTGGGGTTGCCTAGTCTAGGTGACTCAGTCAGGTAAGCATCTGCCTTGCTCCAGTCATGATCCCAGGATCTTGTGAACCAGCCCCATGTCGGGCTCTCTGGAGGAAGCCTGCTTCTCCCTCTGCTCCTCCCCCTGCTCATGCTCCTGCTCTCCTCCTACCCCAGATAAATAAATAAAATGGGTTTTTTTGTTTGTTTGTTTGTTTGTTTGTTTTTTCTTTAGAAAGGGCAGGGGGAGCCTTAGGGTACCTGAGTGGTTCATTCGGGTAAGCAGCCATCTCTTGATTTCCACTCAGGTCATGATCTCAGGGTTGTGAAATCCAATCCTGTGTGGGGCTCCACACTCAGCAGGGAGTCTGCTTGAGATTCTTTCCCTCTGCCCCTCCCTCCACTTGCATGCAAGCTTTCTCTTTCTCAAATAAATAAATCTTTAAAAAAAAAAAAAAGGAAGAAGAAGGAGCCTTTTAAAGATTTTGCAGTGCCGCCATTGTATGTATGAAATACCTATTACATAAAACTGGCTCATTAGTGGTATAAAGAACCACTCACTAATTAACTACCCTTGCAAATCATCTTTACCCTTCTGTTCCTTAATTTCCTCATCTACAAAATGGTATGATTATACAAAGTGCTATGGAGCTTATTGGTTTGTTGTTGTGTTGTTGTTAATGTAGACA